CGGAAGCCCAGGTCCCGAGTCCCGAATTTCGGAGTTCGGGGTTCGGCGACCCGGAGCTCGGCAACTGTGTTGGGTGTCAGGGTATTGGGAGCATTGGAGATCGCATGTGTCAGTATTTTGCGTTTCATAGTTCATGTGGGTGATTATGGAATCAGGCGTCAGGGACTCGGTATTTAGAACAGTGTCAAGTCCCAGGTCACGAGCTCTGAGTCCCGAGTCCTGGAAGCCCGGGTCCCGAGTCCCGAATTTCGGAGTTAGGGGTTCGGCGACCCGGAGCTTGGCAACTGTGTTGGGTGTCAGGGTATTGGGAGCATGGAGATCACATGTGTAAGTATTTTGCGTTTCATGGTTCATGTTTGGTGATTATGGAATCGGGCGTCAGGGACTCGGTATTCAGAACAGTGTCGAGTCCCAGGTCACGAGCTCCGAGTCCCGAGTCCTGAAACCCGGGTCCCGAGTCCCAAATTTGGAGTTCAGGGTTTGGCGACCCAGAGCTCGGCAACTGTGTTGGGTGTCAGGGTATTGGGAGCATTGGAGATCGCATGTGTCAGTATTTTGTGTTTCATGGTTCATGTTTGGTGATTATGGAATCGGGCATCAGGGACTCAGTATTCAGAAGTGTCGAGTCCCAAGTCATGAGCTCCGAGTCCCGAGTCCTGCACAGTGGGTTCGGGACTCGGGACTCGGAGCTCGTGACTTGGGACTCGACACTTCTGAATACTGAGTCCCTGATGCCCGATTCCATAATCACCAAACATGAACCATGAAACGCAAAATACTTACACATGCGATCTCCAATGCTCCCAATACCCTGACACCCAACACAGTTGCTGAGCTCCGGGTCGCTGAACCCTGAACTCCGAAATTCGGGACTCAGGACCTGGGCTTCCAGGACTCAGATGCGAGATTTTTGAATGCATAGAATATTTTACATCTTGTATACAATGAAGACTGAATGGGACTACACTCCTTTGCCTTTCCTCAATTTCTCTAACATGTCAGTGTACATCTTCACCTCTGCCATCTTGGCTTTGATGCCATGATCTTGCTCCTCCATCAATGCTTCCATGCGTTCTTTAATCTACCTCAGTCCCATAAGTGGTGGAGTCGAAGTGTTTTTCAACTTCTCTGGAAGAACCAAAGCATCATCCTCAACATTAAGCTAGAACAGATAAGTCATCAATCAAGGCAATTCAGCTAACATCTTACCGCCCAATACTGGTAGTGAGAGACGCAGGAAGCCATTATTTCATCCCACTGCCATGGTTGATCCGGGATTGTGGTGTTTCCCATCCACCATGGACATGTATATTTGAACACAATCCGGGACGGATGTCCTGCAATTACCTCATCATCAAATGCAAGGAGGTGGAATGAAAAGACATCGTCTGGAACCATGTTCCAGGTTAGCATGGGATACAACTTAAGGATATAAGCGACAGGGACTGGGAGAACCGACACGATATTCTGTGAAGCGGAGTACTGCAGGAGTGGTGTGACAAAAGTCTGCTCAAATTCTTAGCATTGACCAACAAAGTCATCAGGGCAGTGGTAACATACATTCATCTCCCATTGCAGCCCGGCTTTAAAATACTTGATCCGGTCAGAAGATGGACCATTGTTGGCAGCTTCCGTCCGATATTGAGAGATGCATGCACGGACCCGCAATCCAGCCATTGCCAATGTGCAGGAAATAGTTGCAAGGCTCAGCTTCAGGGGTCGGTAATGGCTTCCGGCATTCAGAGTGCCAGAAGTGGATGCAGGAGTTGCAGGCATGGCTAATACAGGACTATGGCGCTGGCAATGCAAGTGAAAGATGGTGAAGATGTGAAGATAAGAATCACTGATGGATGGATACGAAATTCAAACTCCGACATGGGCTGACCACTTCAGTCAACCACTTGAAAAGACCTCTTAGGTCTATTGGTTTGTGGCTAGCAAAGGACCTAGTGGGTGTGTTCTAGGATGGTATTCCCAATAATTTACCCTGTATCCCGGGATGGCCCAGACCACACTGAACAAAGTATCTGGGCTATCCCAAGTACCTATTTGTGATCTTTCCCGATCCCATCTGGGATCACTTTAGCGTTGCTCTGGGACAGCCCTGTGCATCTATTATGTGGGCTTTCCCATCATAAATAAGAGTGACAGGGGTCCATTTTGAAACATTTTTGGCCATTGAAATATGCAATTTGTACATTTATTGGAGCAAGAAGTAGTAGGTATATGTGTGTGTGCATGTCCAACAATTGATATAGATGTAAAATTAATTCAGAAAATTGAATAATAGGATGCCACAATAGCAAAAGAGATACATATCTTTTCTCAACACAATTACATTGAAGGGTTGTCATGATGACATTATACAAAAGTCTACATAGGAAATGAAATAGAGCTCCAAGAGACCACAGAAAGATAATGTACATTAGAAAAATGCCAAAAGTTCCAATTCAGGCACATATTTTATTTCTGTTCAGTAGTGACATCATTATCTGAGTGATGCTGTTTATCCTTGACTATGAACTTAGCCTTCTCACCAATCTACTATATAATTTTGACCTTGGGTTTGTCACACCATCACTAGCTCAATGAACTGAACCTATTTTTTCATAATGGTCACAGCGGTTTTGGGTTGACAAACCTAACTTTGTAGGATAATGTTTTTTTTTTCTGATATGTTTTTTTCAAGAAAATCTTCACCCAAACACTTAGTTTTTCCATTATTATCATTTTGGATCCATTCCCTGTGTATAGAGTATACACAGTCCTCCACTGATCTCATATATACAAACTTACTGCAAGTTTGTATCAATGTCTTCAAGCGACAAACATGTCACATAGTCATTACATAATGCAGTGTTAAAGTTCCCATAACCTAAGGTCAAAATTATACAGTATTCCACACTATTTGAGCTCTCCTTTGTGTCCCACACCATTAAGGCTCTCTTAGCTCGCTGTCCATCAGCATCTGGGCCTTCCCAGCTACCATGTTGTCACTATCTGGGCTTTCCCACCAGTGATCTCCTTACCATCTGGGCTCTTCCACCCAGCCTTCCAGCAGTATCTGGGCTTGCCCGCCTGCCCTGTCATCACCATCCGGGCTCTCCCGCCCAGCCTTCTAGCAGTATCTGGGCTTTCCCACATGCCCTGTCATCATCATCCGGGCTCTCCCGCCCAGCCTTCTAGCAGTATCTGGGCTTGCCCACCTGCCATGTCATCACCATCTGGGCTCTCCCACCCAGCCTTCCAGTAGTATCTGGGCTTTCCTACCTACTCTGTCATCACCATCCGGGCTCTCCCACCCAGCCTTCCAGCAGTATCTGGGCTTTCCCACCTGCCCTGTCATCACCATCCGGGCTCTCCCACCCAGCCTTCTAGCAATATCTGGGCTTTCCCACATGCCCTGTCATCATCATCCGGGCTCTCCTGCCCAGCCTTCTAGCAGTATCTGGGCTTGCCCACCCGCCATGTTATCACCATCTGGGCTCTCCCGCCCAGCCTTCCAGTAGTATTTGGGCTTTTCCATCCACAATGTCATCACCATCTGGGCTTTCCCACCTAGCCTTACTTATGAGTTAGAAGGGAAAGTGAGGATACTCTAGCCAAGCAAAAATAACAGTTGTGCGATGAAATGGGGAAGCTTTACTTGTGAGTTAGAAGGGAATGGGGGATACTCTAGCCAAGCAAAAATAACAGTTGTGCAGTGAAATGCATGTGCGATAAAATGGGGAAGCTTTACTTGTGAGTTAGAAGGGAAAGGGGGGATACTCCAGCCAAGCAAAATTAATATTTATGCAGTGAAATGTATATACAATAAAATGGGGAAGCTTTACTTGTGAGTTAGAAGAGAATGGGGGATACTCTAGCCAAGCAAAAATAACAGTTGTGCGGTGAAATGCATGTGCAATGAAATGAGGAAGCTTTACTTGTGAGTTAGAAGGGAAAGGGGGATACTCCAGCCAAGCAAAAATAACAGTTGTGCGGTGAAATGCATGTGCAATGAAATGGGGGAGCTTTACTTGTGAGTTAGAAGAGAACCCAGGGATACTCCAGCCAAGCAAATTTAATATTTTTGCTGTGAAATGCACATAAAATGGGGAGGCTGTACTAGAAGAGAAATGTACAAAGAATCATAATGACATTTTGGGTGATACCAAGGCAATCATATCAATACTCACTAACACTCAAAATTCTGTTGATATTTTCATGGAATGATGTACACATTTCTTACTTTGGAGTCCTTTCAATTCACATGATGCACACATTCTCAGCTATGTTATCAAGTATCAATGATGTCTTTATTAATCAAATCATTCTTAATATAGTTAGAGTCATTATTTTCCATAAATCAACTAGGTTACTACAAACTAAATCTGACATGTTTTGTTGGGCTGTTTATCAATCAGTCATCAACTACACAGCTATCCTCGATATCATCTACCTCTTCACCCATATACTGATCTGCTAATGCAATATCTTCTAAAACATCCATAAGCTCCTCATCACCACAGCCAATGTCAGATTCCCAATCATCTCGATCATCCCCTACATCATCTTCATCATCATGGTCATTAGAGTACACATGTGTCCCATTAGCAAGTTCAGCATGTGACGGCCCCCAGCGATCAGGCATAGGCCACGCGCACGGAATAGGACGAACCTTCGTCTGCCAGCCAAGTACAAGCCCAATGAACTGTTGAGCACGATTATCAATGTGATAGAGGATTACTTCATCATCACCTTCGAAAGTCAGCATGCAATGTTAGTGAGGTGCGAAAAAACTTACTTGCATGTGCACGAGCCCTTTGTAGAGCATCCCACTCAACAATGGCCCACTCCTGCAGGGCGCAGCGCTCAACCTTCACGTGAGACTCTTCTTTGTTGCACCGGTCAATCTCAAGCACCAGTTTGATCGCAGCACGAGTGACCTCGTCGGCTAACCAATCTGGGGGCTCCGGCATGACATCATCCAGTCCGATGTCCTGCCAAATGTCAGCATCAACATCAAGATTGAAAATACCAATAGGAGAGATAGGGTTGGGTGGTATGGCATTGGGAGGACTGCAGCGTTGTCTGATTAGAGCACCGAGATCAGCACATAGGCTGTTGTATAAATAAACGAGCTTTCGTATCGTCGGATTGCGCCACTGGATTGCGGCATCGACATGAGAATTAAGCTTGTGCTCTGTGACGAGAAAGTGCAATTAGTTGAAGTCCATGTGTGCAACTTAGAACATAAGTACTGTTCACTGCTTGCCTATATGAGCGTTCAAGCTTCTCAATTTCGAACTTGCGCTGTCGAAGTCGTTCGCGGATACACGTCTTAAGAGCTTGAGCATCCAAACGGACTTGTAGATATATGTTGCGACGTAGTTGGTCCAAACGGGTGTGCTGACTGATGCCAAGCCTTGTCTTCCAGCGGCTCAAAGCGTCTGCGAGTCTTGACTGGTGAGCACGTTCTTCAACGAGACGAAGATTGTAGTCAGCAAGATGGTCAACATTTCCTGTAAAAAGTTGCATTTCCATGTGTCACAATGATCCATCGAGCTCAACAAGAGATTTCTCAAGGAGGAGAATTTTCGAGATTTCCTCGTCATTATTTGTCTTCGATCTTCCTGTCGAGATCATGTGCATGAATGATATGATGGTAGATCACCAATAGTAGCACTTACGAGGCAGGGGTCTCGTCTGATGATCGACTTGTGATTTCCACTCCTGACGGACATAGGTCTCATCCACTGAAAGCTCACGCAGAGCTTGCATTGCATTAGTCTTCCTCTTGACGCAGTTATTCCACCTCCGGCTCAACCAGTTGCCACACGAAACAAGGTTCTTGTTATTCAGATGCCGGACTTGAGTGTCGAGGACAAAAAGTCGCTGATTAAACTGACAAAGCGGTCAGTAAGTAGGAAACATGTACATTGTAGTCAGAGGTGAATTGATAATACAATCACTCGTGTGTAACCATCCTCGAAATAAGGAATACTCACCCCAGAAACACGTAAGGGAGCAATAAGATGTTTGAGTGCGCTCCATAAACGCTCGCACCTTCTCCATCCGAAAGGCCAAAGCCTTCACACTTACAAGGGTGGTATATAATTTGACACGCCATTGGTGGCCATAAGCGTGAAAAACTGATATTGCAAATGTCAACCGGCGAAGAATGGTGTCATCAAGGAGTTGATACTTGACACAACTTCGATGAAGTTGACAGCCAATGTCATACAGGAGGCCGACGGTCATCTCGGGAGGGAGATTATCAAAAAGCTTCTTGATCAGGGCGAGAGCATAGTACTGCTTTCTCCAGCTGACGTCATGTTAGCGAGCCATAATACACGATCATGGCGACATAACATGGCCATCACCCCTGTATCTGCAAAAAATTGGGTGCTGGCCTTTTCGCGCTTCTCATCAGCGGCAAGAAAAGATTCACCGCAGCTATCCAGTACAGAGGTGGGGACTCGCATACCATTCTCATAGCATCCCCGTCCTCTTCTGTAGCTGTAGGTCGCTTTCTCTTGCGACCCTGATCAGTGGGCCTACCACGACAACTTCGCACATGAGCATCCATCGATGCCACCTCCTCATCTGAAAGGAAAACTGATCTGACTGGGTTTGGAGGATCTGGACCTCCGCCGCATTGGTCCACTGAACGTTTTTGAGTGAAGCATGCGTCAATGCAAGTATGGACGTCAGGTCTATTATGTGCTTTAGAATTTTTTTAGTTGATGATATTCACGCAACTTACTGGAGACCAAGGGTTCTGCTTTTTTGCCA